AATCCTTCAAAAACCTTCGGTGCCGGAAGGATTTCAAAATTGAATTTCCAAAAAACAAAAACACAGGGTTTCGCAACACTGGTTTGCTCAAAAAGCTTACGCGCGAGCTCTTGCGAAATCTGAAGAAAACCATTGGTCTTTCAAGATTTTCACAAAATGCTACCAAACGGGCTTCGCGCGCGCATGTCGAAATCTGTCGAACGCCCTTGCGCGTGTGCCGTCGCGAGAATCTTCTGGAAAAAATGGGACGAAGTGCAGACGCGCGCGAAGTCCCGCGCGTATGCCGAAATCCTTCAAAAACCTTCGGTTTCGGAAGGATTCCAAAATCGTGTGTCCAAAAAACCTACAAAAACACAAGGTTTCGCAACACGGGTTTTCAACAAAAGCGTGCGCGCGCGCTCTTGCGTCGTCGTCGTCCTCCTCCTCCTCCCTCCTCCCTCGTCGTCGTCGTCGTCGTCGTCGCCGTCGTCGTCTTCTGTCTTTCCTCGTCGTCGTCGTCGTCGTCTTGGCGTCGTCGTCGCTTCCGTCGTCGTTGTCGCCGTGGTCGTCCTTCCTCCCTCGTCGTCATCGTCGGCGTCTTGTCGTTGTCCCTCCTATTTCGTCGCCGTCGTCGTCGTCGTCGTCGTCGTGGTCTTCACTCCTCCCTCGTCGTTATCCTCCTCCCTCGTCGTCGTCGTCGTCGTCCGTCGTCGGCGTCTTGTCGTCGTCCCTCCAATTTCGTCGCCGTCCGTCGTCGCATTCGTCGTCGTTGTCGTCGTCGTCGTCTTCACTCCTCCCTCGTCGTTGTCGTCGTCGGCGTCGCCGTCCTTCATCCTTCTTCGTCGTTCGAGTCGTCGCCGTCTTCCGCCCTCCATCGTCGTTGTCGTCGTTGTCGCCGTCGTCGTTCTTTCTCCTCCCTCGTCGTCGTCTCCGTTGGCGACGTCGTCGTCGTCTTCGTCGTCGACGTCGACGTCGGCGGTGTCGTCGTAGTCGGTGTCTGCGGCGCCGTCGTCGTCGTTGTCGCTGTCGTCGTCGGCGTCGGTGTCGTGGCCAAGCGCCATGTGGTACCTACCGTCACGGTCTTGTATAATGTATATATATATATATATTATGCACAGTCGTCCATCCTAAATATAATATCATATCATCCCAACCAAACCGGGTTCCCCCCCACTGAGGTTCCCTTGGGAAAAAACACTATGCGGTGACATTTTTGGTTCTAACATCACAGTTGTTCACGAACCCCTTGCGAAAAACTGGACGAAGCGCACACGCGCGTGTCGTCGCGCGCGCATGCCGACATCCTTCAAAAACCTTCGGTGCCGGAAGGATTTCGCAATCGAGTTACGAAAACACATACTAAAACACAGGGTTTCGCAACACTGATTTGCTAAAAAAGCTTCCGCGCGAGCTCTTGCGAAATCTGAAGAAAACCATTGGTCTTTCAAGATTTTCACAAAATGCTACCAAACGGGCTTCGCGCGCGCATGTCGAAATCTGTCGAACGCCCTTGCGCGTGTGCCGTCGCGAGAATCCCCTGCAAAAAAACGGAACGAAGTGCAGACGCGCGCGTCGTCGCAGGCGTATGCCGAAAACCTTCAAAACCCTTCGGTTTCGGAAGGATTTCAAAATCGTGCATCCAAAAAACCTACAAGAACACAAGGTTTCGCAACACGGATTTTCAACAGAAGCGTGCGCGCGCGCTCTTGCGTCGTCGTCGTCGTCGCCGCCGTCCTCCCTCCTCCCGCGTCGTTGTCGTCGTCGTCGTCGCCGCCTACGTCGCCCTCTGTCTTTCCTCGTGTTCGTCGTCGTCGTCCTCTTTGGCGTCGTGGTCGTTTCCGTCGTCGTTGTCGCCGTGGTCGTCATTCCTCCTCCTCCCTCGTCGTCGTCGTCGTCCGTCGTCGGCGTCTCGTTGTCGTCCCTCCTATTTAGTCGCCGTCGTCGTCGTCGTCGTCGTTGTCGTCGTCGTCGTCTTCCCTCATCCCTCGTCGTTGCCGTCGTCGGCGTCGCCGTCCTTCCTCCTTCTTCGTCGTTCGAGTCGTCGCCGTCCTCCCTCCTCCCTCGTCGTTGTCGTCGTTGTCGCCGTCGTCGTCCTCCCTCCTTCCTCGTTGTCTTCGTTGGCGACGTCGTCGTCGTTTTCGTCGTCGTCGTCGGCGTCGGCGTCGTTGTCGTCCTCGTCGTCGTCGACGTCGGCGTCGTCGTCGTCGCCGCCGTCGTCGTCGTCGTCGCCGGCGTCGTTGACGTCGTCGTCGTCGTCGTTATCGTCGTCTTCGGCGTCGTCATCGTCGTCGTCGTTGTCATCGTCGTCGTCGTCGGCGTCGGCGTCGTCGTTGTCGTCGTCGGTGTCGTCGTCGTCGTCGTCGTTGTCGGCGTCGTCGAAGTCGTTGGAGACGTCGTCGGTGTCGTCGTAGTCGTTGTCGGCGGCGTCGTCGTCGGCGTCGCTGTCGTCGTCGGCGTCGCTGTTGTTGCCAAGTGCCATGTGGTACCCACCGTCACGGTCTTATGAGATTTTGCAAACCAAGTTGCGGGTGGGTGGGTGGGATGTTTGCACGAGCAGTAGAGAGGACAGCTTCAAGACGGTCAAAGTGGATTGCACCACATAGATTACACCGCACATACTGCATTACATAGGGTGCACCGCGTAGATTCTCCTTTCTAACAAAATAGACTCTACACCCCCCCCAGAGTTAACGAGCCACCTTACCGTAGTACAATGTACATCTGATTCTGCCCCATCGTGCATCTCAAATATGACCTCGTACCATCCCAGCCAAACCTGCATCGCCCCCCCCGGCCATCTTCTGCAAAAATATGCGCGCACACTCGTTCATCAAAAGTCATAAGTGTTTAAGAATCCCTTGCAAAAACTGGGACGAAGTGCACACGCGCACGTCGTCGCGCGCGCATGCACAAATCCTTCAAAAAACCTTCAGTTTCGGAGAGATGTCAAAAACGAGTTCCCAAAAAGAAACATACAAAAACTCAGGGCTTCGCAATACTGGTTTCCTTATATAAAAAAAACAAAAAATACGCGCGCGGCCCTGCGAAATCTTACGACAACCATATGTTTTTCCAAATTCCCCCGCCACCCCCAAAAAGCAACATCAAGAAGAGAAGAAAAAAAGGGCTTCGCGCGCGCATGTCGAAATCTGTCGAACGCCCTTGCGCGCGTGCCGTCGCGAGAACCCTCTGCAACAAGTGGGACGAAGTGCAGACGCGTGCGTCGTCGCGCGCGCATGCCGAAATCCTTCATAAACCTTCGGTTTCGGAAGGATTTCAGAATCGTGTACCCAAAACAAAAGCGTGCGCGCGCGCTCTTGCGTCCTCGTCGTCGTCGTCGTCGCCATCCTCCCTCCTCCCTCGTCGTCGTCGTCGTGGCAGTCGTCGTCCTCTGTCTTTCCTCGTCGTCGTCGTCTTGGCGTCGTCGTCGTTTCCGTCGTCGTTGTCGCCGTGGTCGTCCTTCCTCCCTCGTCGTCTTCGTCGGCGTTTTGTCGTTGTCCCTCCAATTTCGTCGCCGCCGTCGTCGTCGTCTTCCCTCCTACCTCGTCGTTGTCGTCGTCGCCATCGTCGTCCTCCCTCCTCCCTCGGCGTCGTCGTCTTGGTTGGCGACGTCGTCGTCGTCGTCGTCTTCGTCGTCGCCGTCGTCGTCGTCGCCGTCGTCATCGTCGGCGTCGTCGTCGTCGGCGGCGTCATCCTCGTCGTCGGCGTCGTCATCGTCGTCGTCGTCGGTGTTGTCGTCGTCGGTGTTGTCGTCGTCGTCGTCGGTGTTGTCGTCGTCGTCGTTGTCGTCGTCGCCGAAGTCGTTGGAGACTCGCCCGCAACGTCTACCGTTGTCGACGTTGCCATGATACCGCGCCCGCCCAAGTCGCCGACTCGCAATGAAGTGCCCGCTGGTGTGTGCCCAACGTTCAGCGCCACCGCGGCCGCGTCGGTCGCGCCAAACCAACCGGCCGCTGCGCGCGCGTGCTTGGGTTGGCGCGGCCGCCGAGACGCACTGGCCAACGCCGAGCATGCATCGCAATTGCCACCTTATGGGTTTTGCAAACCGAGTTGCGGGTGGGCGGGTGGGATGTTTGCAAGAGCACGGGATGTGTCAACCCGTTTGTTAAAATCCATTGCACCACAAAGATCGCACCGCACAGCTCGCACCGCATAGATTCCATCACACAGGTTGCATCGCGTCAATTGCACCAGGTAGATTGCACCGCATCGACTGCATTGCATAGGTTGCACCGCGCAGATTGCACCACCTAGATTGCACCACATAGATTGCACCGCATATGTTGCATTACATGGGTTGCACCGCATAGATTGCACCGCGAAGACTGCATTGCACAGGTTACACCGCCTACGTTGCACCACATCGATCGCACCGCAGAGACTGCAAGAACCTACTGTTTGGAGCCCACGCTGGTGAACATAGAGAGATGCACATGGAAAGAGACAGAGAACGGAGGGAGAGAGAGAGAGAGAGAGAGAGAGCTGCCGAGCACGATAAAGAATGGGTTGCCTCCCAAATGGGGCGCAGCAGGTGGGGTCGGAGGATCGCCCCGCGTCGCGCTGCATCGGCGGAAGGGAGAAGATCAGGCTCGGGATCGTACGGTTCTCCGACCTTCTCCACTCTGGTCCTACTTTGACCACGAAAAAACACATCCCCAATCCCAAAATCGCGGATTCACCGAGGATTCGAAGATCGGCCAAAAATTTCGGGGTATGTTTTGCAATTGTCGTCGTCGCCCTGGTAAAACCCTACCCCAAAAGCTCCCAAAAGCTCCCTACTTAGTCCTACCTGGACGACCTGGAGAAGAGAAGGAGGCCGAGGAGCGAATGTAAAGGTGCCGCCCGGGCCGCATGGATCGGCGCGTGCCTGCCAGCAGCTTTGGCGCGTTTATCGAAGCGTGTTTGGCCCCGCGCTCCCCGACCAACCCCGAGATTGCTCAAGGGCCGACACGGTGAGCGAAGGGCATCGGCCGCGGACGAACTCTCACCTGGTGGTGACGGTGCCCGAGCGGGTCTGGGCTTCACTCCTTTGTCGAGGCCTCTGCTTCCAGAAGCTCGGGCTGCCTGTAGCTCAACGGCAGCGAAGAATCCTTTCGGTCTGCCTTCTCATGATATTTTAGCATGGGCAGCTTCTGCCAGAGCAGCGACTCGAACTTCCTGTAGAAACGGAACACCCAGATGAAGGACGCTAAACAGATGATCGAAGGAATTTTGCTGTCCGCCCGCATGGCGAGACAGCCCGACATCGTCAGGACATATATGATGAGCCCCCACTGCAGGTGGCGCAGATTGCTCACCCAGAACACCCCGCCGAGGTCCGGCTTTTTCGTCTCGGCCCACACCAGCAGGTACCCGAAGACGACGCGGCAGAGGGCGAAGTTGATCAGCCCCAGGACGGTGATGAGGGGCGTTAGGCTGGAGAAGACCAGCGTCATGACGACGTACTCGGAGGCGCGGGCGCAGCGCCCGCCCTGCCCGTAGTAGTCCTGGTCCTCCGGCTCCGAGAGCTCCCGCGCCCGCTCCTCGGGCAGGTAGGACTTGTAGGCGATGAACTTCGCCAGGTAGAAGTAGCGGGTGGCGTCCATGGCAACGGTGCCCCAGTTGACAACCATGTAGTTCAGGTAGAAGTGCGTGGCCTGGCACGGAGCGCAGGCACGCCCGACGGGCTCTCTCTCTCTCTCTCTCTCTCTCTCTCTCCCCAAACGGTGCGTGCACGAAGGGCTTCTTCGATGCTTGGAGGTAGGTGGCTACGACTGCGCGTTCTTGCCCTGGTGCATCGTGGGTGGTGCTCTCTATGGCTAGAGGTCCCGTGGTGTCTCTGTAAAGGCGAGAGTTCGTGTCCTTGCCCTGGAACTCTCCGGGTGGTGCTCTATGACTGGTGCCCCATGGAGCCTTTGACGGTTGCGAGTTGCCCTCATTCCGGGTGCCCTATACATATATATATACACACATATATATATATATCGAGAGAGAGAGAGAGAGAGAGATCGCTCGTGCTTCATATATATAATCATCGAGGATGCAAAAACCTACTGTGCGGGGTCCGCGCTGGCAATCATTAGTTTGGGGTGTTGTTTAGAGATATGTGGCCTGCGGCAGGGAGCTCCCAAGCAGCTGAAGGATAGAGGTGGGATGCTCCAGGAGCTGCTCGAGCGTTCCGAGAAGGGAGGTGCCCACGGTTGTGGCCAGGATCTCGAAGACGACAAGGAACCAGAAGTAGTAAATCTGGAGCTTGGCTTGCGCCCAGGCTCCGGCCCGAAGGCAGAAGAAGTTCCTGAAGATGATCATGAGTATCGTTGGCAGGAAGCACATGAACAGCTTGAGCCCGAGAACTGCGGACATGGACGACATGAAAGAGACCAAGCCTGGCGGCCAAGCTGCAAGCGTGTCCTTCAGCGACGGGTACCGCTTCTGCAACTCGGGAATGCTGGTAAGCCAGGAGATGCCAACGACAAAAGGCATGAAGACCAGGTATACACCAAATACAGAGGCGTACCCCAAGAGCTCCTTGCCAGCAATCTTCGTGGGATCTGTCTGGAGGTCGCTGTAGATGATATCCTCAGGGTCCGGAGGAAGACTGACGACGAACTCGTCTGTATCCTCAGTGTAGCACACCTGCAGGGCAAGCTCCTGGAAGTGCCTCGACGCAAAGGTTACGAAACCACTCGTAGAGAAGATCGGAGAAACCCCTGGTGACGAATCAGCCGCGCCATCGAGCAACTGCTTCCTCTTTGTCGTGATCGTCTGAATCACGTTATTCTGTTGTTCCGTATAATAATCAAGGGTGTCCACAAGGACGCCCCTGTTCAGGAAGTCGCGGAACTGGGGCCGTTTGTCTGGATCGCTGCCATCTTTTTGCCACTGGAACTCCGCAGAATGAAGCTGCAGCTCGATCTCTTCTTTTCGGGCCACGTCGGCCAGCAGGTCGTCGGTGTTCAGGACCATGTGGGCCATCTGCACGTTCTCCTCGCCGAAGAGCCTCTGGAACAGTCCGAGCAGCTTGGTGTCCGAGCGGTACTCGTCTGGGATGCACTCCACCAGGACGGTGGTGCTCTGAGGCACGGGCATATTGCAGAGCCACTCGTAGCGCTTTTGCTCGATGAACTCGCGATGTGCAGACAAGGTAACCTTCTCGACGGCGACGACTACCAGCCATACCAACATGGCATGAGCGTATGTGAGCCAGCTGTTCTCCTCCACAGAACCGAAGCCGATCTTGCTCAGACGGTCACACTCCCCCTTTCCGAACGCCCTGTGGAGCGTCCCCATGATGAGAAAGTTCGACACTACCAAGATAGCGCAGATCTTTACACACAAGCTGTAGTACCTTAGAAGCATGAGTCCGTCAAGGCCAGCTGCTTTCTCAATCTCACCGTCGCTGGCCCGTAGGCTGTCGCTGACCCACCCGAAGATCCATCCAAGGCGGGTGTCGCGGTTGGGCATGGCTAGGGGAACAAAAAGTGGCATAAACATAAAAACTCGAAGGTCCGCGCGGATTTCTCGGATCGGCGCTGGACCCCCCTCCCTGGCGCGCGGAGCGCGCCAGGGGCGGCGCCAGAGGCGCCGCCGGGGGGCCCCAGCGCCGATCCGAGAAATCCGCGCGGACCTCCGAGTTTCTATGTTTATGCCACTTGTTGTTCCCCCTAATGGCGCAGTTGTGGCTGAACATGGGCGGGTACCAGAGCCGCACCGCGCAGAATACGCCGAGGCAGCCCGCAACGAAGACGGCCGTGAAGAGGAGGTTGCCCACGAAGGCCGCCAGGTCTCCCTCCGCGTTGGAGGTCACGCCCAGCACCTTCGCCGCCGTGTCCTTGCTCTCGGTGGGCTTGTCGATGTCGGCGTGCCAGGTCTCGTCGATGATGCGCGGCGCGGCAGAGGGTAGGGGAACGAACAATGACGCAAACATAAAAATTCGGAGGTCCGCGCGGATGTCTCGGATCGGCGCTGGACCCTCCTCCCTGGCGCGCGGAGCGCGCCAGGGGTGGTGCCGGAGGCGCCGCCAGGGGGCCCCAGCGCCATCCGAGAAATCCGCGCGGAAAGACGAGGAGAGGAGGAGGAGGAGGAGGAGGAGGAGGAGGAAGAGGAGGAGGAGGAAGAGGAGGAGGAGGAGGAGGGGGAGGAGGAGGAGGAGGAGAAAGAGGAGGAGGAGGAGGAGGAAGAAGAGGAGCAGCAGGAGGAGGAGGAACCGATCCGAGAAATCCGAACGGACCTCCGAGTTGTCATGTTCATGCCATTATTCGTCCCCCTAGAGGTGCTCGGGGCCTGCCCCGCCGCCCCCACGAGAGCTGCCAGGTCGTCCCGTGCAGCATCGGCGGACGCCCCCGCCGCACGCGCTAACGCCGCGGTGCCGTGGCCCGAGCCGTCGTCGCCGGCGGGCCCGGGGGCACCGCGCGGCGATCCTCCTGGTGGGCATGTTGTCCACCGCCACCATCACAAGTGGGAGGGGGAGGAGGTCCTCCTCCTCCTCCTCCTCCTCCTCCTCCTCCTCCTCCTCATCCTCCTCCTCCTCCGCCTCTTCCTCCTCCTCCTCCTCCTCCTCCTCCTCCTCCTCCTCCTCCTCCTCCTCCTCCACCTCCTTCCCCACCCTCCAACTTATGGTGGTGGTGGTGGCAAACAGGCCCATCACCTCCGGCGGCTCCGGTGCGCCTATGGGCGGGGCCCCGGACGTCGCGCTGAGACTGCAGCAGCGCGATGTCCTCGAGAGGCAAATGCTGGGAGGCACGAGCGCCGAGCGTAGCCAGATCCACGCCCTCGCATTCTGGATGCCGAGGCGCGATCCACCGGATACGCGGTCGCACGGTCGCGCTCCGCGCGGGGCATCCGCGAAAAAGCGCCCCGTGTCCAGGGGTCGCGACCAAGGGGCCTGGCCCGCGAGGCCGCGGATGCGGATACGCTCATGCCACGGACTTGCGGGAGGCCTACGTAAGAAAGATTGACAGCTCCTCAGCCCTATCTGGACGCCAAGAAGCCACATGAGCCCAGGTGAAGCCCAAGAGTGAACCCGACCTAGCTGGAGCGGACGGAACTAGATTAGGCCCGCTCTTCGACCGCGGATATACCAGCGCCGATGCTGAGCCGAACGCACGACACACGAGCGCAGCTGCCGTCGCCCAGGGGGGGCGCGCCCACCAGGCGGGCGGGCGGACACGGTGACCCGCGGGCCCTTGGAGAGGACCAGCGAACCCACGAGCAGCCCGCGCCCCTCAAGAGGCACCTGGGGGAGGGGAGGGAAGGGGAAGGGTAAAACAGGGGAACGAACAATGACACAGGCATAAAAGCTCGGAGGTCCACGCGGATTTCTCGGATCGGCGCCGGAGGCGCCGCCAGTGGGCCCCAGCGCCGATCCGAGAAATCCGTGCGGACCTCCGAGCTTTTGTGTCTGTGTCATTATTCTTTCCCCTAAAAGAGGAGGGGGGACAGCAGTTGCATCGCGGGTGTCCCCCGAGGCATCGCATCCAAACTGACATGTCC